ATCAGATTTCTGCAGTCTCTCTCTTCTCTATGGAGTAACTTCCCTTCACTTAGGTTTTGAGGAACCCTAGCTATGTTTGTTTGATTGGATGATTGTATGAGTACTCTGACTTGATAATCTTGAGTTCATATTCAATCTATGCATGTTTTCACGATTCAATTCTGCTTTAGTCGAGATTATTGATTCTGCTTTGATCCTATGAGAGCGAATACCTGATTAGGTCAATAGAGCACCATAGATTGACAGTAGTGGATCGATTGCTTTAGTCGAGGGTTGATTCACTGCGTTGTATCGATTGAGAACCTCTTCGATAGAGGGAGTCTAGTTCAGAACGCCTTGATCGATTGTTCTAGAGAAGGATACGTCCCTCTAGGCAATTGACTCAAGAGGGCCTTGTTCCTTTAGTCGAGACTCAAGGTCTAGTCAAGGATTCTCCGCATTGTGAATGAAAGTGAAACAAGTTAGAGATCACCAATCGTTAATCTGGCTAGTGGCTAGGGGGAATCATACCTAAGTGAGTTCCCAACCTGTAATTAGATTAACTTTAACTGTAGTTTGCTAGAGTAGTTTTAGTTCTTTCATCTTAATTTGTTTTGCTAGATAATGAATTGAAGCTGAGTAATAGTAACTCTAGAGACCCGTGGATTCGATATTTACTACTTGTGCCACTATACTGCAGTCCCTTTCATTGGTTACACTTGGCCATTGTTAGGAGTTGTGTTTTAGCGAGTCAAGTTTTTGGCGCCGTTGTCGGGGACTTTCTAGAGTATTAGGAAAGGCAGAAGTTTGTTACTTTAGCGTTTTTCTTTTCTTTTCCACTCTTGCTTTTCACTTGGGTGTTTTGTTTTTGTTGGTGCAGATCTGAATCATGGATCCTCACGGCTTCTCCAATCATTGGGGGTATCCACCACCGTCCGAGTGGTATTACCCCGAGACCCCCTGGAGCAATCAAGGAGGAGAAGACTATGGATCCGGGTTCCAGTACCAACCCCCTTACTACGGAGAACAATCTGGCCCCTGGGCATATCCAGAACAATCTCATTACAAAGAAGACTTTCTCCCACAACCAGAAGGGCCATCGGCGCTGGAGTTACCCATGACGGCCTTCACGGGCCATTCTGCAGAGCCATGCTACACTCCACAGCCAGATCCAAACTATGAACTGAGGCTTCTCTTGGAGCAGTTTGTTCGGGACTCCGAGAGACGTGGATTCGATATTTACTACTTGTGCCACTATACTGCAGTCCCTTTCATTGGTTACACTTGGCCATTGTTAGGAGTTGTGTTTTAGCGAGTCACCTTTCTCACAAGGCGGTCGAGGGCTAACCAAGATGCCAAGATATGCTCTTTCTTGATGAGCGCCCTTTTGAGTTCACGGCTGTGTGTCGACATTCATAGATTTCCCGCAGCCACACTTGATTGAGATCCCTTGAACTTCATAAGCTATAGCGATCCATCTATCATATAAATCTATGAGTGGTTCGTTGCTTCTTTGCCTGCAGTTTATGAGAGCCGATACAATGAGCTTTTGCCTTCGCTGAGATGCGAACTTGTATGAGAATAGCGTTGCAAACTACTCAAAGCCTTTGATTATTCCTTACGGAAGTGAGGTGTACTAGTTTCTGCAATGACCGCTGAAGGTCACTGGAAACGCCTTGCATAGATTAGCGTCTGAGACATTGATGGGTTGCATTTTTAGCATGAACGCGCTCAAATGATCTGTGGGGTCCGAATTGCCACTATAGGTCGGGAGTCACAACGAGGAGAAGTTAGATGGGACTTGAGTTTTGAAAGGCTTCTTGCCAACGAGTTTTGCAACGCTATTGATGGTAACTAAATGTTGTGTCGGGCCCTCTAAGCACGTCCCTTCTAGTAGGCGACCGCCTACGACGGTTAATTAATGCTTAGTCTTACCCAAATCGAGGAAATCATTACTTCCGAGTCATGCATCTCCTGTCTCCCCTCGATGCTTTATGTAAGTCAGTCTATCCTCATCACATATGAGGTCAGCCGCCTATGGGTCACACAAGGACGCTATCCGCCGAGTTGGCGGTTACACAGAGACGACTTTTCTATTCACATTGGGTCGGGTCGCCCTGGGCTCTGAAGCCAAGTACTACTCATACGTTGCACGGCATTATGTAGAGTCACACTTTTCTCTTACAAGTGTAGTCAAAACCTACGCTTTAAAGTTTAAAAGCTTACATTTTTACGATTCTAGATCACCAAAACGCTTCTACGTAGAATCGATATTTTCACTGCATTGGTTGTACCCAATCAAGCCGTCGTCACTGCCATTCGAGTGTGGTTCAAGTTTATAATATTTCAATTGTTCATAGTGTTGTTGTAACCTTGTAAGCATGAGAGAAGTGAAAATCTTAGCAGCTTGTGTTAGGATCTTGTTGAATGGCAAGGAGATGTGGGGTACCATCTTCAAGACTTTATAGTTAGAAGTCTTCTCCTATTATTCCAATATATATTCATGAAGATGCAAATAAATATTGACAATAATGTTAGCAAAATATTGATGTACTTCCACCTCATATTCAGTAACACACCAACAAATATTCATTGAAATATGAATATGTATTCACAAACATATGAACACTGATATTCATTAATATATGAACATGTATTAACATACATATAAACAAATATTATGTTCTTCTTCCAACACATATTCATCAACACATCACAAGTGTTCATAAACATATGACATATATTCTCTTGTGCTTCCAACCCATATTCATTAACATGCAAATAAGTAATCACAAATATATGAACCACAATTCTCGTGTCGTTAAAGACGAACATGTATTGACAAACATATGAATACAAATTTCTTATTCATGAACTTAAGTATATGAACGAATATTCTCATGTTCTTATAGAACATATTAATGCACTTACAAAAAAATACAACAAAGCATGTAAAAACTTTTCACAACTGGTATTTGAAAGTACATGAATAAGTATTCAAATACGTAAAATCCATAAACTTTTTGTCAACAAACACAATAAATGCCAACCCTAATCTCAACCATATGAAGACATTGAATGTTCAACCACAACCAACACACCAAAACATATGTAAGTGAAGTGTACGATCATGAATCATTTGTTGTCTTCACATACTCCCATCCATTTCATCAAAAGCATCCATCCACTCTTACCATCCCCACAAAACATCACATATATCTTCACCATCCACATTGGGGATTATATCACCAAGATCGGGGCCATTTCCCTTCTGGGTTCGAAGATCAACCTCAATTGGATCGACCATGTTCTCTCTCAATCCTCGTCGAGAAGAGAAACAAAACAATGGTGACCAAGAATTTGAGGTTTATGGTGTTCTTCTTCTTCTTCTCTTAAATGATAGGCGGAGGAGAGCAAAGAGATCAGAGGGTTGACAAAGATGAAACTTTCACGAGAGAGGTAGGTGTTAGGTGAGTGCGTTAAATGAGACAAGAGTCCTGCAAACCTCCTCCTCTTCCTAGGGGTGGTAATAGCTTTAGCCAAGAATCCAGAAACCCACACCAATAAAAAAAAAGCCATGCATCACCCAAGAAAGTATCCCTATCGAATTTTACAAGAGCACAAGTTAAACTAAATTATAGTCGCCAGAGAATTGGGTTTGTGGGCTTCCATCGAACTATTCCAGTGGCGGTTATGGTGGAAAGCTTGCATCCGTCGGCATCGGAAGGAAGAACGAAATAAAGGAGGCGGGAGACAAAGTTGTCGTGGTGGTGGTGAAGGTAGGGGGAGAGGCAGATGAGAAAGGGGATGATGGCAGAGAGAATTTTGGGCTTTGCATGGCAGAAAAGAGAGGAATGGATTGCTCTCTGTGAAACAAGGGAATGCTAGGAATGATTGTAATTGCCCTCGTAGAGCAAGGGAGGATTAATAAGATGATGAATTTGGGAAGGTAAAAAGAATCATGGGATTAAGTAAGAAAATGTGAAGATGGTGAATTTGGGGGAGGAGAAAAGATTTGTAATGGCGGGTGAATTTTGCGGTGATAGAAAAGGGAAGTTGAAGTGGTGGATTTGGGGAACAATAATTGGCGGAGGGAGGACGATTGGGGGAGGGAGTGTGATAATCGGTTGGTACTGGTGTAACCGGGTAACCGGTTAATCGAATAACCAATTTTGATCCGGTATCGCTAGTCGACAAAAGTTTGGCACTAATCAGTATTATCGATAACCTGCTAACCGATTACCGGTTAAACCGGGAACCAACCGATTAACATCCCCTACATCTTCGGCCTCTCTCACCTGGTGGGTCCGCTTCTTGCAGCTCAACCTTCAATTTTCCTCTCCAGGTCCGTTTGCTAGCCGACGCACTCCCATCCTCCATTTCCAAGATTGCTCACGTGGTCCAATCCAGAACATTTGAGCACGTACTCATAAAAACAACTATGAGCACTATAGCAAAATTACTCGAGTGAGAACTGAGAAGTCAACTATTTGAAGGTTGGATTCTCTTGATCTCTACTTAAATTTATGAACGGTGAACAGATTGGTTTGTCACTTCTTACGCGAGGCTCAAATGCTATGTTTTCATGAAATAATTAGGCCAACAATATTTATCGTTAATCCAAATGAGAGAAAGTTCTATTCCGAAAGAGAAATGAAAGGAGTCAAACAGAGTCAGCAACAGAAGAAAAGTAATAGGGAACCCGAATCCTTTGGTAAATAAAGGCGGCCTGATGAGCTGAGCATTTCATTTCACGTAGAATTTTTCTTATATTTTTTAAGGAGAATCGGGGCGGCTTTCCTTGCAATCGTCTGACGATGTCCCCACCCACCCTCCCGTCAACTATCTATATGTATGAAGCTCTCGCTCCTTCAATTCCAACGACCAGAAAAAAATAGAAAGAAATCTCCCCCTTCCCGAATCCAACCAATTCCCCATCTCTTCTTCTCCCCGTCGGAGCTATCACTTCACCGGAGCGAAGCTCAAAACAAGAGCAGACCACAAACAACACAGAGAGAAAAATGGACCGAATGGTGACAGACATACTTCTCCAAGTCTTCGGGATCGGCGTCACAGTCTTCATGTTCCTCTACTCCCACGGCATCCCCCAGAAGATCTACGCCAAGCTCCGCCAGCGCGCCCTCGCCGCCGACGCCGAGTCCAAGCGCCAGTTCGTCCGCGGCGCCCAGCTCCTCTCCCAGGCCAGGCGGAGCTCCACCTCCACCACCCGCTCAACCCTAGCCAAGCAAGCGGAGGAGCAAGCCGACAAGGCGATCGCCTACGACCCGCGAGACGCCGCCGCTCACATCCTCAAGGGCCTCGCTCTCGATCTCCAAGGGTTCAAGACCTCCGCCCTCGCCTCCTTCGATATCGCGCTGTCTCCGCTGGCGATCAAGTCGTTGACCGAGGTCGAGCGAGGGGACGCGCTCTACCGCAGGGCGGAGCTCCTGATGTCGATTAAGAATCGCGAAGGGCGAGTTGAATCGGCGATTCAGGATCTGACTCGGGCGGTGGAGATTTGTGAGGATAAAGCCAAGGCGTTTAGGCTGTTGGGAGAGTGTTACGAGGCGGAGGAGAAGAAGGAAGAGGCGAGGAACGCGTACGAAGAAGCTCTGAAGGTCGAACCGGAGTACCCGGCGGCCCGAGCAGCTTTGGACCGGTTGGGAGAGTAGTAGCAGCAGCAGCAGCTGAACCTGCAGGCTCGGTACTGTCTCTCCTTACCCCGCAAATTGCTCATTACATTACAGCGTTGTTTTGCTTGGAATGAACTGTGAGAAATCACAGGTATGCTAGTTTTCATAGGATCCCATTTGGGAGTTCCAAGAAATGGGAAATTTCGAACCTTTGTGCCTGTAGAGAATGTGATATCAATCTTCCTATATTTGCATTGAACGTTTATCCAATTCCTGTGTTGTAATGATTCGATCTTAACTGGAGTCTCTGGTTGATGAGACCATTCATTTCCACCTCCCGACTCCTTGATTAGCTGCAACGAATGGTTTACTACTTTTTTCTGAACCATTTTGGAGTTTGGTTTGACAATATAAGCTATAGCTAGGTTGACCTGAACCACAAATTACGCAACTTCGGTGGGGGGTTTAGGCACCAGAACTGAGACCAAGATGGTGCATTGTATTGCTTGGACTCCTGGTTCGGACACCACCAGAATGCACCGATCGAATTGGTTTCAGGTTATTTCTCTACTGCTGTCTGGAGCGGTTAAACCTCCCTAGTTGCCCGCCCACCCCTACATTCAATCGTGGATTGTTTCTCTGTCGCGAGTTGTGACCAGCTCTTTCATTGGGATTGGCCAATTAGGCAATTTCGGTGGGCGGTTTAGGCACCATAACTGAGACAAATATGGTGCATTCTGTGGCCAGGACTCCTGGTTTCAATACCAACAGAATGCACTGAACGAATTGGTTTCAGTTTAGATCTCTACTGGGGTTTCGAGCGGTTAAACCTCCCCGGTTGCCTGCCCACCCTGACATTCAATTGTGGATTATTTCTCTGTTGCGAGTTGCTACCAGATCTTTCCTTGAGATAGACCAACTCTAGTGCACAAAGATGATGTTGGGGATCAACATGAATCAACTCTGACATTCTTTCTTCCTTTCTGAATCCGTGACTTGCTATGACTCGAGATGCTTTCCGGTTGGCCTGTGAGATTCTGGATTTACTAATTAGCCGGTCTGACCGTCTGAGTAAAGAAGCCATATTTCAGCAATTCCTTGTTTTCTATGCTGGAATAATTACTCTTTAAAACTTCGACTATGCTTGACTGATTCTCCTCTCCACTCCCACAAGATCTTTTGCTGCGACATTTTCCTGACTTATTTTGGGGTTAAGTTGACAACACACAGGAACTATGATACAGTTTTTCCATCCAGTATTTATCGATTTGTGTTGACCCGTGACTAGAAACTTTGACTTGCTCTTTGCCTATGTTCTTAATTCTTATATAGAGCGAGGAGTTATCCAAACTCCTTATCCTTGTTTGTGTGCCTGTTCTTCTTCTGCTGCTGGCAAAAACTGCATTTGAAATAGAAATCTCAAATATAACGCGAAACCATGAAGACTGGAGTCAACCATGTCCATGCTTTGCTTCTCCTTCTCACAAGTGCAATCCTGATCAGCTTGCACGTCCACGGCCTACAAGAACAACAACACCTGCAACTCCAGGAAGAGAAGAATCCAGTAGCTAACTTTGGTTAATATGCATAATCTCCCATGCTTTCTGTTTATATTTACAGTATGTTTGTTTCTTTGTCATCTAAAGGCAAGTCTGTGTCTGCAGTACTGCAAAGGATTTGGTCAAGCTCAAGCACCATCAAACTGACAGTCAAGCTTCTTGATTACTTCGTGGCGAGATCCTTACAGTTCAAATACCTGCCACCTCTGTATCCTCCGCAGCCTTCGCCATCCACCTCACCGTCTATCCTGTTCTGGTTGGGATTTTTTTCCTGCGATGGTAGGAACTGGAAATGCAAGGATGCAACCAGCAGCAGGCAGCAACTGCGCTGCGTAAGGTTAAAGAAAGTATGCATGTGATTGGGTAGCTCCCTCTATTTTTCGGTTCCGTTTACGATATCAGGAACATGGTAGATTGTTACTAAATACACTACGCGTGCGGATTGTTTGTTCTTGTAATCTTAAATATTTATCTCATAGAGGTTTATAATAACGTATACTCTATGTTTGGCCCGGCTTTTACAAGTGTTTTTAGACTTCAAAAACTGAAGTATGGCCAAACACCTGTAAAAACTCGGCTTTTTTTGTATAACATAAAGACTATGCTTGGTCCGGCTTTTAGAAGTCCTTTTCGGCTTCAAAAGCTGAAGCAGGGCCAAACACCTCTAAAAGCTCGACTTTTGTATAACATAAAAGCAGAAGCTCCGATTTGGAGCTTCTGCGAAAAGCTGTTTTGAAAATATAAGAATATCCTTACCATATTTTAATTTTATTTTAGAAAATATAATTTTCCTTCATTTATATCATTTTAAAAATAAAATAAGTTATAAAATTATATTATTTAATATAAAAGAAATATAAGAAGATCCATTTTGACTCTTTTTTATTGTTTAGAATTTTTATTTATATTTTATATTATAAGTCCTTTATAATAGCCTATGTTTGGCCCGGCTTTTAGAAGTGCTTTTCGGCTTCAAAAGCTTAAGCAGGGCCAAACACCTCTAAAAGCTCGGCTTTTGAAAAGCCGAAAAGCGCTTTTGTATAACATAAAAGCAGAAGCTCCGATTTGGAGCTTCTGCGAAAAGCTGTTTTGAAAATACAAGATTATCCTTACCATATTTTAATTTTATTTCAGAAAATATAATTTTCCTTCATTTATATCATTTTAAAAATAAAATAAATTATAAAATCATATTATTTAATATAAAAGAAATCTAACAAGATCCATTTTGACTACTTTTTATTGTTTCGAATTTTTATTTATATTTTATATTATAAGTCCTTTATAGTCATTTTACACAACCGCTCATATTAAAAAGCACTTCTAATAGTTTTACAGCCAAACACTAAACTGCTTTTTTTGAAAAGTACTTATCTAAAAGCTCCAGCCAGAAGCTGCTTCTGCAAAAGCTACAGCAGGGCCAAACTAAGCTCATCATTTTATACAAACGCTCATATTAAAAAGCACTTCTAATAGTTTTACAGGCAAACACTAGACTACTTTTTTTGAAAAGTACTTATCTAAAAGCTACAGCCAGAAGCTGCTTCTGCAAAAGCTACAACAATGCCAAACTAAGCTAAAAGCAGAAGCTTCGATTTGGAGCTTCTGCGAAAAGCTGTTTTGAAAATACAAGATTATCCTTATCATATTTTAATTTTATTTCAGAAAATATAATTTTCCTTCATTTATATCATTTTAAAAATAAAATAAATTATAAAATCATATTATTTAATATAAAAGAAATCTAACAAGATCCATTTTGTTTACTTTTTATTGTTTAGAATTTGTATTCATATTTTATATTATAAGTCCTTTATAGTCGTTTTACACAATCTCTCATATTAAAAAACACTTCTAATAGTTTTACAGCAAAACACTTAACTGTTTTTTTTAAAAGAACTTATCTAAAAGCTCCAGCCAGAAACTGCTTCTGCAAAAGCTACCGCAGTGCCAAACTAAGCTATAAACTCTTTATATTGGTGGCTTCTACACTCAACTTAGCATTAATACAACATAAAATCACAATACTTTATCTTAAGCCTTAATCCTAATTTCGCAACGCAAAATGATTTTATATGTGGTAAAGATAGACATGCCTCGGAGTACCTAAAGATTCCTAAAGTTTTGTATTAAGGAGTATCACAGTTTGACTTATATATATGCCAATAGAGTGACATATTCCTGGAGTATATCATACTCCAAATAACTTATCTGTTAGATGTACTTTGTTGTACTTTTACAAATCAGAATAGTTGATTATTATTATTTATTAAATTAATCTTTCGATTTAGAAATTCGAGTCTCGGATTTATACATTAGAGATTAAGGTATAGTCTTATACCCCCACACCAGTTTATTCATGTCTAGATAAAGATATCTCACTAGGAGTACGTAGAGTATACTATACTCTAAGAGTATAATAGTTTGACCCCATATATGTGGTGACGACGGGCACACTTTTGGAGTATACTATATGCCTAATGATTTATCCATTAGATGTACTTCGTTGTAAGACATACGGATCTAGGCGCATTCGGCTAGGGATAGAGAATTGGGAATTGCTAGGTAATTTGGAATTGAAGAATAGAATTAGAGATTTGATTGACGAAGAAGAAGAGGGGCGAGAAGGAAAAAAATCGGCCACCAAAGGGAGGGAGGTAAAGGCCAACTTTTTCGAGGATGGAAGGGGAGAGAGATTTTGGATTTTCTTGAGATAGAGAGAGAATAGATTTAGAGAATGATTATTCTGATATTGTTTATTAAGAAAGCCCCCACTAGTACAGTATAATATGTAAGACCAATAAATTCCCTACAACTACCCAAATTAATGTCTCAAACCCAAAACATCCAAATCCTCCTGAAAACCCCCAAATAACATCCAAAATCCATAAAACCGAAATAAACGACAACCATTCCAAAATAGATAAAGGGCTATAATTTATGTTTCTAACAATCCACCCTCCTTGAGACCAACCTTGCCTTCAAGGTTGGCCTTCCTTCTTCTACTCCGCTTCCTTCATCTCCTTTGTCTTCTCAGCCGCCATCTCCTCGCTTTTGTCCTCCTAGTTGTCCACCAACAACATTAAATGGCCATTGGCACACTAATGTCCCACAGTATACCTCTCATCACAGTTGAAGTAGCGTCCATCTCTGTGCTTCTGCCCCATCTCGGTTGGTGTCAGCTTGACGAACCCCTTCGGCGGTAGCCGAGCCGGAATGCGCCCTCTTGGTGGTACTCCAGTGGCCACTGGGCTTGCCATTCTCGATGACGTGGTGGATGCACGTGGACTCTCCGAAGCTGCCATCGTGCTTGACCCGCTTCCCGCCCTGCTTGCACTCTTCGGAAAATGCCCTACACTCCCCTTCCAGCTAGCTAGCTCCTCCTCCTTTCGACCTGCAAGTCTAAAAGCAACTCGAAGCAAATCAGGCTAAAAACCCTTGACTGAGACTACCAGTTCAGGTCACAGCCCAGGCATGGAT